TCTCTCTCTGGTGAGCATGTGTGCCCTACAGAAGATTTAAAATAATAGTAATAATTACACTAACTGCTGGTTCCCAAGTTAAATTATTCTTGAAAAAAAGTCTTAAGTTGAACTATCAAAGCTGAGGGCCACCTGTTTCTGCTTTCTAATAGCAGTGAGTGCAGGACTAGCAGTTGGTGTAATGGCTATGTCGCTGGACTCCCATGTAGTCGACCACGATTCGAGCCCCAGACCCAGTGGCTTAAACTCACGCTGGGCTCATGTGTGTGCATGCCCAAGATCCCGAGAGGAGAATGAAGGAGAAAGGATTGTGGCGTGGCCATCCTCCCTGGGGGATGATTTCTCGCTTTCTGTCTCTCTGTCTCTCTCTGTCTTCCTGGCGAGCACACGTGCCCTATAGCAAAAAGCTCTCCAAAAAAATAAATAAAATAGCAGTGAGTGCTAGGATGAAGAGTGATCACATCCCCTGGACTAACCTCAAGGGGAGTTCTGACTCATAAATACAGAAGTATGTCTCTTCCTCGGCAAATAGTCTTTCATTCTGCATTATTCTTCATTTGCAGGTTTTTTTAATATTCCACAAGTTAACTGATAATTTTTTTAATCAGTTAGCATTAATGTTGATTTAATAAACTTGTTGCTTTGTTAAATAGTGGATAGCTTTGGCCAATTTTAGGAGCTCCCATTTTTAAACAAGAAATCACCCCCCAGGAGGGATGGCTTCACCACAATCCCTTCTACTCCACTCTCTTCTCAGGATCTTGGGCACACATGCACATGCGCCCGGCGTGAGTTTAAGCCGCCAGGTCTGGGACTCAAACCACGGTCAACAACATGGGAGTCCAGCGACATAGTCATTACGCTAACTGCTGATCCCTATTTATGTATATATTTTTAATTTAACCAGAGAGCAGAGAGAGGGAGAAATTGAGAAAGCAAGCTGCCAGGTCCAGGACTCAAACCATGGTCAGCCTTGTGGGAGGCCAGCACCTTTAGCCACCACGCCACCTGCCAGCCCCGGGAGCTCCCCTTTTTCCAAAATCAGCATTTAGAAGTTTAGGCACGTGTGAATGCTTACACTTACCTGGCTTTATATTAACTAACTCTTTCATTTACCTATAGCAAGACTGTTTCTCATGTATGCCCTAGACTTGGAGATGCAGAAGGGTGCGCATATTGAAAGACTGTGGTCTAGATAAATTTAGCAAAGAAGGGGAGCCTGGGGACCTGAGGGAACTTGGATACAGCCTTCTTCTGTACTCTCTATTTATTGCATGGAAGATCAGATTACAAACAGTGCAGTACTTTGAAGTAAATAGGAGACCGTTTCTCAGTAAATTTTGCCTTACATATTTATGATGGAAAATTTTGTCAATGTGCAGTGGATGGGAAAGGATGAACATGCAAACAGCAGGTTTTCTCCATAAATAAGAGCATCCTTAAGAAGAAAGTTAAAGAGTTATTTGGAAACTTAGCTACAGAGCACAGACTAAGAGCTATTATGTAGGACATAGGGCACATTAACCCAGGGGAACTTGGCTTGCTTCCCTGGGAAATAGGTTTAAGGAAACTTGTGCAGTCTCCTGTATGTGAGGACCCGGCATGCCAGGTCACTCAAGTTGTTTTCCAGCAGATCTGGACCATCACACAGGGTGGTAGCCAACACATGTAGGACAAAGCTTTTAAATATTTTTTTCAATAACTATTTAAAAACTATTTTTTAAATAACTATTAATTGTATTTATCATCATTATTTTTAAATTTTCTACAGGGTACTTGTGCTCACCAGCGACAGAGAGAGAGGAAAAGTGAGAGAAAGCAAGCCACCTAGTGACTTAACCAACACACTACCTGATGGCCCCTAAACTTTTTAAATAGTTTTATACCTAACAAAATAAGTCTTACATTCTAAAATATATTTTAATGTTATTCTAATCAGTAACTTAATATCATTGAACTCTCATTTTTCAAGAATAATGACCAGAATTTTCTTTTTTTCTTTTAAGATTTATTTATGTATTTACTTATCTTAATTTGAGCAGAGAGGGATGGAAAGTGAGAAAGGAAAACGTCAGGTCCTGGACTCTAACCACAATCAGTAGTATTGTGGGAGTCCAGTGCCCTTAACCATGACACCACCTGCCAGCCCCAAGATCAGAATTTTCATTACTTCTCACTAATCATTCCTCCATTGCCTTCCACAAAAATATTCTTCACCTTTTTCAGGGTTTTGAAATTTTGCAAGAGCTGAAACTAAGCTCTTTTTTTTTTACCTCTTTGGAAAATAAGGTATTTCCTTATGCTTAAATTATTATTTTTCACCATAGAAAAGCAAAATGAACTTTGTACTACAGCTGCAGTCTTTCTCATCTAATCTAGGATAGTGAGGCCAGCAGTTTGTGTAGTGGTTAAGGTGCTGGACTGCCACATGGTCAACCATGGTTCGAGTTCCAGACCTGATAGCTTGAAACTCATGTTGGGCATGTGTCCACATGTGCCCAAAATCCTAGAGGAAAATGGAGGAGAAGGGATTGCGGCATGGTCATCCTCCCTGGGGAGTGATTTCTTGCTTTCTGTTTCTCTCTCTCTCTGTCTCTCCAATAAGCACACAGGCTCTACATCAAAAATATCTCTAAAATAGATAAATAAGGGATCAGCAGTTAGCGTAATGGCTATGTCACTGGACTCCCATGTAGTCGACCGTGGTTCGAGTCCCGGACCCAGTGCTTAAACTCATGCTGGACACATGTGCATGTATGCCCAAGATCCCAAGTGGAGGAGAATGGAGGAGAAGGGATTGTGGTGTGGCCATTCCCCCTGGGGGGTGATTTCTTGCTTTCTATCTCTCTGTCTCTCTGTCTTTCTGGCAAGTGCACGCACCCTATAGCAAAAAAAAGGAAGCTCTCCAAAAAAAGAAAAAGAAAAGATAAATAAACAAATAACCTGGGGTAGCACCCCAAGTATTCTTTTTTTAAAAAATAATTAATTATTTATTTTATTCCAGTTGTTGTTATTATTTTTTAATTTGACCAGAGAGAGAGAGAGAGGGAAAATGAGAAAGCCAGCCACCAGGTCCAGGGCACAAACTACAGTTGGCCATATGGGAATCCTGCACCTTTAACTACCACACCACCTGCCATCCCTTCCAAGCATTTTTTAACGAGTTAAAGCTGTCTATGGAAATTGATGAAGTAAAGAAAAATTATCATAAGCATTATAAATACAGTAGTTTCCCCTTATCCATAGGAAAAAACTCTCTAAGACACCCTTGTCCTCAGCGCATACCTGAGACTTAAAATTGTGCCAAACCCTCAATATGCTGTTTTTTCCTGCAAATAACATATTTTTGATAAAGCTGAATTTATAAACTAGGGACAGTAAGAGATGAAATATAATAGTAATAGGGCCAGTTGTGTGGTGCTTAAGGCACTGGATTCCCATATGGCTGACTACAGTTTGAGTCCTGGACCTGGTAGCTTGCTTTCTCACTTTCTCTCTCTCTTACTCTGTTTGTGTCTCTGGTGAGTGATGCCCTTTACCAAATTTTTAAAAAGATAATAATAGTAAACTAAACAATTAAAAAAAAAATCACCTGAATATTTCTTTTTCTTTTTTTTTTTTTGAGAGTTTTTTTTTTTTTTTTTTTTTTTTGCTACAGGGCGCGTGCGCTCGCCAGACAGACAGAGAGAGACATAGAGACAGAAAGCGAGAAATCACCCCCAGGGGGGATGGTCACACTGCAATCCCTTCTCCTCCATTCTCCTCTCGGGATCTTGGGCACGCACGCACACGTGCCCAGCGTGAGTTTTAAGCCACCGGGTCTGGGATGCGAACCACGGTCAACTACGTGGGAGTCCAGCGACATAGCCATTACACTGTTGGTCCCAACACCTGAATATTTCTTCAATAGAGTAATTTACAGGATATTTAAAATGGAATAACTAGATTGACAAGTATTCTATTTTTTTTTTACCCTAACCCTGACCCTGACCCTGACCCTGACCCTGACCCCTGACCCCTAACCCCTAACCCTAACCCTAACCCTAACCCCTAACCCTAACCCTAACCCTCTAGATTGACAAATATTAATGTAGACAAATTCCAAAAGAATTTGAAAAAGACAGACTGTAAAAAATGTTATGGTAACAAAATAGAACAATTATAACAATATGGTGTAATAAAAGTTTTATGAATTTGGTCTTTTTCATACCCAAAATACTGGGTTGTGGAAAAGTCATGACACATTTCTGCCTAGAAAAACATCGAAAGAATGCGTCATGACTTTTCCATTGACCCAATATTTTATTATGCTGAACCATGATTAGTTGAAACCTCAGCAAATAAAACTGCAGATAAAGAGGGACTGCTGTATTCCATAGCAATATGGGGGTCAAGGCTGAAACCTTACCAAAAAATTAAAAGAGGGACCAGCAGTTAGCGTAATGGCTATCTCGCTGGACTCCCACGTAGTTGACCGCAGTTCGAGTCCCGAACCCGGTGGCTTAAACTCACGCTGGGCACGAGTGCGTGTGTGCCCAAGGTCCCGAGAGGAGAATGGAGGAGAAAGGATTGCGGCGTGGCCATCCCCCCTTGGGGGTGATTTCTCACTTTCTATCTCTCTCTCTCTGTCTGTCTGGCGAGCACACGTACCCTATAGCAAAAATCTCTCCAAAAATAAAATAATAAAATAAAATAAAAATGAAAAGAAAGAAGAATGTATTATTTTTTCTCATGATCAGAGCTACACATCTAGTAAATGTTCAATAACCCTTAAATAAGCTCAATGAATGTGGATTATTTAAAATTCTGTGAGATGTTTAAAAGCACTTAAAACTTAAAAACTTTTTTTTTAATTACAGAACCTCATTTTGGGGAGTAAAGCCAATTGGGCAGAGGATTCTGCCTTAAAGGAAACTGTTCTGCAGCTTGAGAAGGATCTCACCATGATGTAATAAGAATTCTATTTTGGCTTCTTTTTGTTTTTGTCTTTGATATGTAATTTCAATAGCAAATTGCAAATGAAATGTATTTTAAATGTTTTTGGAATTAGTCTAATACTGCATGTTTTTTCGCTTTACCTACCACTGTGATAGAATCTATTGTTTTAAATATGACAATTAAAGTAATTGACATACTCTGAAAGAACCTTTTTTTTTGTATAAGATATGTACACTCACTGGAGACAGACAGAGACATGAAAGTGAAAGGTGAAATCAACCCCCAGGGGAGCATGCCCATGCCACAGTCCCTTCTCCTCCTCCTTTTGGGGTTTTGGGCACGTATACTCTGCGTGAGTTTCAAGTCACCAGGTCCGGGACTCGCACTGCCGTCGGCACTGTGGGAATCCAGTGCCTTCACCACCACACCACCTGCTGGTCCCAACCTTGTTTTTTTGTTTTTTGTTTTTTTAATAATTATTTAATTTTATTCACTGTCATTATTTTTTATTTATTTATTTTTTAAAGTTGACCAGAGAGAGAGAAAGTGAGAAAGCAAGCTGCCAGGTCCGGGACTCGAATTATAGTCAGCCATGTGAGAGTTCAGCTGCCTTAACCACCATGCCACCTACTGCCCCTCCCCCCAAGTTCTTCCTCTCTTTTTTTTAATGCATGAAAGTGAGAGTTCTCAAATGAGACTGGTACTTTTTCTTCTAATTCTGCATCCTATTCAGATCCTGAGCATACACATACATATGTCTGGTGTTTTTTAAGCCAATGAGGCTGGGGCTCAAATCCTGGTTGGAGTGTGTGATTGGGCCACTTCTGCATAGTGCCTAGCTGCTGTGCTGAGGGGCTGGCCTTTTGAGCTTTTTTTTTTTTTTTTTTTTTGGAGAGGTTTTTACTATAGGGTGTGTGTGCTCGCCAGACAGAGAGATAGAAAGCGAGAAATCACCCCCCAGGGGTGATGGCCACGCCGCAGTCCCTTCTCCTTCATTCTCCTCTCGGGATCTTGGGCATGCACACACATGCGCCCGGCGTGAGTTTTAAGCCACTGAGTCGGGGATGCGAACCACGGTTGACTATGTGGGAATCCAGCGACATAGCCATTACACTAACTGCTGGTCCCTTGAGCTCTTTCTTAAAGCCCAACTTTAACTTTTATACCATATTAGTTGCCTCCCCTAAGATCCTCTTGAATAACAACTCCAAATCTCAATGGCTTATAAAAACAATTCTTTCGGGACCAGCAGTTGGCATAATGGCTGTGTCACTGGACTCCCACATAGTCAACCGCGGTTCGAGTCCCAGACCTGGTGGCTTAAACTCACGCCGGGCGCGTGCTCATGCATGCCCAAGATCCCAAGAGGAGAATGGAGGAGAAGAGATTGCGGCGTGGCCATCCCCCCTGGGGGGTAATTTCTTGCTTTCTATCTCTCTGTCTCTCTCTGCTCCATAGCAAAAACCTCTCATTCGTAAGTACATACATACATACATTTCTGTTAGCTGTGGTGGCACAGGTGGTAGAGCCCCCACTGAGACTAGAGCCACGCTAGGGTCTCAGTTTGGATCCCAGGGTGACTTGAACATGCTGGATTTACCTGGCATAGAGATAAAACACCACACTCTGTGAAGACAGATCCACTTGGGAAAAGTTTCTGGTTAGAGTCTGGAGACCTCCCTTAGTACAGCAGTACAAATGTGCCTGTGATCCAGGCTGACTGTAGCCAGAGATGGATCATGGCATGAAGATGTTGTTCCTCTCTCTTCTCTCTCTCACTCATGGAATAAGTAAACTTAAAAGAAAGAGAACAAGAGAAATGAAAAAAAAGAAAGAACTGCCAACCAATATCCCTATGAGTATAATTGCAAAAATCTTTAACAATGTATTAGAAAATAGAATTCAGCAATATGAGAGGTCATCCATGAAAAATGCATATTATGAAAAACTATGCGGAGGGGAGCAGCAGGTAGTGTGGTTGGGGTGCTGGAATATTACACAGCCGACCACGGTTCCAGTCCCATACGCAGTGAATTGCTTTCTCACTTTCCCTCTCCCTCTGTCTCTCTGGTGGATTAATAATAACAGTAATAAATAAAATTAAATAATTCTTAAAAAAATAAAAACCATGCATGGGCTTCAGAAACATTTTACACTAGGGAACCAGTAGTTAGTGTAATGGCTATGTCGCTGGACTCCCACGATCGCATCCCGGACCTGGCGGCTTAAAACTCACTCCGGGCGTGTGTGTGTGTGTGCCCAAGATCCTGAGAGGAGAATGGAGGAGAAGGGATTGCGGCATGACCATCCCCCTGCAGGGTGATTTCTCGCTTTCTGTCTCTATGTCTCTCTGTCTGTCTGGAGAGCGCACGTGCCCTATAGCGAAAAAACATCTCAAAAAAAAAAAAAAAAAAAAAGAAAGAAAGAAACATTTTACACTAGTACACTCATACTAATCTCGTTTCTATTTTTGTATTGCCAGAATATGCTTGCCAGAGAGTTGGAGAAAACACTCACCAACAGAGTGCAATCACATTGTAATCCCCTTTCCTCCATTTCTCTTTCAGTCAGGATTCTGGACATGTATACACATGACTTTTATGGCTCCACTCATTCCCCACCCCTGGCAACCACTAATCTGTTCTCCATTTCTATAACTATGTCATTTCAATGAAGTTATAAATGCAAGCATACATTGTGTGACCTTTGGGATGGGCTTTTTTCAGTCAGCATAAATTCCTGCAGATCTATCCAGTTGGTAGCATGCATCAGTAGTTCATGCAATTTTTCTAGTGTTCATGATACAGATGTATCATCTTAATAATCTACTTATTGAAGGATATGTGTGCTGTTTCATGTTTGGGCTATAACAATTAAAGTTGCCATAAACATTCATGTACAGGACTAAACACAAATTTTGAAAGCTTTTTCAAAAAATAAGTTTTGGGCTTCTATGCAGACATACTGCATTAGTGTAGTCTATATTGGGGTATAGGAATTTATATTTCTGGGGCGAGTGGGTGGCATGGTGGTTGAGGTGCTAGATCACACATGGCTGATTGCATGGTTCGAATTCCAGACCCAATAGCTTAAAAAACATGCCAGGCACATATGCATGTGTGCCTAAAATCTCAAGAGGAGAGTGGAGGAGAAAGGATTGTGATGTGGCCGTCTATCCAGGGGATGATTTCTCACTTTCCCTCTCTGTCTCTCTCTGGTGAGCACACACTCCAAAACAAAAAATAAAAATAATTAATGAAAAGTCCCAGATTTGGGGACCAGCAGTTGAACACAGTTTGAGTCCTGAACCCGGTGGCTTAAACTCGTACTTAGACGCACGTGCGTGCGTGCCCAAGATCCCAAGAGGAGAATGGAGGGGAAGGGATTGTGGCGTGGCCATCCCCCCTGGGGGGTGATTTTTCACTTTCTGTCTCTCTCTTTCTCTCTGGTGAGCACACACGCCCTATAGCAAAAACGTCCAAAAAAACCAAAAAGTTCCAGATTTTAAAATTACTAACCTAGGGAACCAGCATTTAGCGTAATGGCTATGTCGCTGGACTCCCACGTAGTCGACCGCGGTTCGTGTCCCGGACCCGGTGGCTTAAAACTCACACCGGGCGCGTGTGCGTGCGTGCCCAAGATCCCGAGAGGAGAATGGAGGAGAAGGGATTGCGGCGTGACCATCCCCTCTCGGGGGTGATTTCTCACTTTCTGTCTCTATGTCTCTCTCTGTCTGTCTGGCGAGCGCACGCGCCCTACAGTGAAAATCTCTCCAAAAAAAAAAAAATTACTAACCTAATCATCAAAATAGCTAGGTCACTTTAAATTACTAATATAGTTTGGGGAAGGCCAGCAGGTGGCATGAACTCCCACATGGCCAGTCATGGTTCAAGTCCTGGACCTGGTGGCTTGCTTTCTTACTTTCTCTCTCTCTCTCTCTGTCTCTCACTGTGACACTCTCTGGTCAAATTAATTAATTAATTAATTAATTAAATATGGAACCAGCAGTTGGCGTTATGGTTATGTCACTGGACTCCTACGTAGTCGACCGCGGTTCAAGTCTTGGACTCAGTGGCTTAAATTCATGCCAGGTTCATGTGTGCATGTCCAAGATCCCGAGAGGAGAATGGAGAAGGGATGGCAGCACGGCTATCCCCCCCCCCCCGCCCCCC